CTACCCACCTGTCCATCCACCCACCCATTCATCCATCCACCCACCTGTCCATCCATCCATCTGCCCATCCACCCACCCATCCGTCTGCCCACCCGCCCGCTCCTGCCTGGTCCCGGGCGTACCGCGGAGGGCTGGAGATGTAAGGGTGGAAAGAATAGTCGTCCCCTGCCCTCGGGAAGTGTGGCGTCAGGGCAGGTCCAGACCACAGACAAACACGTAATTCAGAGTTGCCATCGTTGCCATCAGAGGCACCAGTATGGATTGCTAGAGGGAACACAAGTGGGGGGCAGGGACAGGAGCCAAACCTGAATGGCCACTGGGGGGCTTTGTGCAGAGGTGACGTTTGAGCTGAAACCTGGAAGTTGGAAAGAAGCAGTACCTGGCGTGAGCAGGAGGGGGCAGCCCGTGCAGAGTCGCTGACGTAGGTCAGCCTGGTGCGTTGAAGAAGCTAAAAGCAGACCTCTGTGGATGGAGTGTGTACGGGAGGGCAGGGGTAGCCCAGAGAGTCACCGAATAAATTGATGAAAGCGAGAACGGTGCACCAGTGAAGGGACAGCCAGCCATTGGTTCTGTTTGCAGGAAAACGCCGACCTCTTCAGAGCCGACGTGACAAGCCAGTCCTGGAAAGATTATGTCAGCTACATTGACAGCATGGTCTTAGAGGAATTTGAATGTTTCATTCGCAAGTCTCTAAATTACCTAATGGACAGCATGGTTGTCGATGTAAGTTACAAATGTGGGCTGTTATGCGTGCGCGTACATGGGCGTGAGCAACATAAATAAGAGAGAAGGTTTTTGTTGGACGCGCCTCCACGCCGCCACCTGGCACGTGAGGCTGACAGCCTTACGGGGGGTCCAGGGACAGACAGGGTTCTGATGTGCACGCTTGGTCAGTGGAGCCCCAGGGGGCAGGAGGACTTGTCCTTTCTGAATCTCAGTGAGGGCTGCCCTGCCCGGCTGTGACCGCCCTCCGCCCGCTCCTCTGTGGCTGTGGCCGCCGCACTAGTCCTGAGCCACCGCCACCCTACGTGCTCTGGGTGGTAGCCATTCACTTCGTCCTTACAGTGACCCAGAGGGATGGGCGAAGTTACCTCCTTCGTTCTACGAAACGGCTCTTCTCCTTTCATATACTTGGGGAAACTGGGAGGTCAAGGTTCTTGCCCAAGGCCACATAGCTGGTGAGTGACAGATGAGGACTCTGGACCAAAGGAAGCTGGTCCTTCC